AGGTTCTGGACTCTACTCTCCTGGGAGTGCTTCCATCCATAAGACCAAAACTGGGGGTCTCTGAATCTAGGGAAATGGGCAAGGAAGTGGGAGGGGAGGGGTGGGTTCCTTTCTGCTTGCTGCCTCTATGAGACTCAGGTCCACACCTGTCACATGGAAGACCTTCAATCAAAGTTATTTCAGAAATGAATGATTAGTAGGAATGTATATTCATGCAACCTCTAGGGAGGAAACCGGGCCACAGATCTCAAAACCACTTAAGACTAGATGTTTTGTCCCATCAATCCTGCTTCTTAAAATTTATCTTATACATATTGCTACACAGGTACAAAATGATATGTATACAAGTTGATTCATTGCAGCTTTGTTTATACCAGGAGATTGGAAATAATCCAATGTTTCTCAAGAGAAGACTAGTTAAATAGTCTATGGAGCAGCCAAAGAATGAAATCCTGCACAGCTACTTTTTTTTCAAAGAAGAAAACGTGGTGTTCTCTATGAATTCATACGGAAACATTTCCAGGATAATGAAGTAAAGAAAGTACAGAACAGCATGCAGAGTATATTGCCTTTTCTATGTGAAAGCAAGGAAGATAAAAATCTATATTTGCATGGGCTTCATGTTCTTTTTAAACTCTCCACACACACACTAAAACACAATAAAATGCTTCCTATGGGGGCAAGGTGAGAGGAGTGAAGGTGGGATGGGGAAAAAACCTTTCACTGGCACCTTTCTTGTTTTGCATTTTGAACAATGTGGGAGTGTTACTATTTAAAACACAATCTATTTATTTTTTAATGTCAGGGCAAGGTGGAGGCGTCAGAGGTGATGGGCAGAGGAGGGAGCATTAGACCTGACAGTGTCCTGGAGGTGCCTGCCCTGACCCAAGGCATCCCTTCACTTGGAGGTGCCTGAAGGACAGATGAGGTCCCGGGAGCAAATTCCACAGAGTCCTTTAAGACACTCAGGATTTGGAATATTACAATTATAGAACATAACAGTCATAGTTGTTGTGATATAACTAACTACTTACATATACTGACAATGGTTGACATTCACACAAATAATTCCATCCAATTTCAGGGAAGTGAAAGAGATGGCATGGAAGTTGTTGGGTGTTTGTACATAAATATAAGGTAGGTAAGTAATGTTTTTTTAAATTTTATTTTAGGCAATTTTAAATATATTTCTGTGTGACTCTCCTTACCCCCGAGGCTTCCAGGCAATGGGTATTAATGCTTCAGGGAGGGGTTGGCTCCCAAAAGGCAAAGTTGCAGCAGGTTTTGGTTTGACAAGAAGACTGAATGTCTGGCATTATTCAGAAAGAAAGGGGGATCTATCCAGAACGAAGACTGAAAGACACAGATAATAGAATTTCTTCAGTGGCTGAGGGACAAAGAGGAGGGAGAGAGACAAGGATGGTGATATCTTCTATTTTGTACTTCTCCCAAAGGTGCAGGTGGTTTACAAACATCCAGGAAGCTGTACAGGAAGTAGAAAGCAAGACCTGGCAGCCTGTGGCAGGACCCACAGAAGGGCAAAAGTTGGAAAGGCAGCACTGACCTGGACCCACTCTGCATCCTTGCCTAGAGAGGACCGTTCAAACTATGGAATCTTGCTAACATTACCAGGTTGGACCAAAGTAAGTCTTTTCAGGGACTTTCCACCTCCCATAGGAAGGGCCTCACAAAGGAAATCATATCAGTAATAGGCAAAACAAGAAAAACATATTTTCTGCACATCTGGATGTGATAAGAGTAATCCATAACACCACTAAATATCTTTATGAGTACATACATCTATTTTCTAAAAGACCATCTAGTGCCTGAGCACTCCATTCAAAGAAGAGACTGAATGAATGCTACCTAAATTTTACAAAAATATTATCCCTGACTTAGAATTCCCAGAGAAGCTTTACTAGCACTTTTCCACATATAGCAAAAGGTAAATACCTTTTGGTCACATGCCCTGATGCAATACATCCTATGATGCACTCACCTTTCGAACCTGGAACATTGGTTTCTCTCATCTTCATGAACCTCCTTCCCACCCCTTCACAGAGGAAAATCTCCCTCCCTTGGAACCAATGCTGCCCATACACTAAAGGCAAATGAATGGGATCTTTCATCTTACCATTTACCTTCCCCCGCAAATGCTACATTATTGCTGAATGCAGAGATATGGTGGCTCACAAACTGCACTGTACAACTGATTTTATAGGTCAAAAATCACAGAGAAGAGAGGGTTTCTGGCCAAGATAGAAGCATAGGTAGATACACTTTGCTTCCTCGCACAACCAAAAGAAGGCTAACAACAAATTTACAAACAAAAAACAACCAGAACTTCCAGAAAATCTAACTATATGGAAGTCTGACAACCAAGGAACAGTCTAGATGAATGATAAAGAAACATTCATCTAGACTGGTATGAGAGGCAGAGGAGGGAAACTGGGACTCACAAGGATCACAACAAAGCAGCAGCTAGCAGACCCAGTGGACAAGGTGGCAGCTGGCCAACCCAGTGGTCCCACATTTGCACAGGAATAAGCTGGGGGGAACAACTGGGGAGCAAGAGAGACCACACAACCCGGGGTCCAGCATGGGAAACTAAAACCTCAAAATCTCTGGTTGTAAAAACCTGTAAAAACTCCCAGTCTCACATGAGAGTCCATTGGAGGGGCCCACAGGATCCAAGAACATACACAAACCCACCCACCCAGGAACTGGAACCTGAAAGGGCACAATCTGTTTGTGGGAAGTGAGGGAAGTGACTGAAAGTGGGACAAGAGCCAAGCAAGCAGCAATGTTCCTTCTCTGACCCTTCCCCCACATACAGCACCACAACACAGCAAAGTAAGTTCCCCTCCCCCAGGGAATACCTAAGGCTCCACCCCTTAAAACATAACAGGTGTATCAAGACAAAGAAATATGGCCCAAATGAAAGAACAGGTCAAAACTCCAGAAAAAGAACTAAGCAATGAGGAAATAGACAACCTCTCAGATGTAGAGTTTAAAACACTGGTAATCAGGATGCTCACAGAAATGATTGAATATGGTCATAACATAAAGGAAGAAGTGAAGGCTATGCAAAGTGAAATAAAGAAAAATACACAGGGAACCAACAGTCACAGGAAGGAAACGGACTCAAATCAAAGATTTGAAACAGAAGGAATAAATAAATATTCAGCTGGCACAGAATGAAGAAACAAGAATTCAAAAAAAAAAAAAATGAGGAGAGGCTTAGGAACCTCTGCGACAACTTTAAACGTTCCAACATCTGAGTCATAGGGGTGCCAGGAGAAGAGGAAGAGCAAGAAATTGAAAACTTATTTGAAAAAATAATGAAAGAAAATTCCCCCAATCTGGTGAAGGAAATAGACATGCAAGTCCAGGAAGTTCAGAGAGTCCTGAAGAAGTTGAATTCAAGGAGAAACACACCAAGACACATCAATAATTAAATTGTCCAAGATTAAAGACAGGTAGAGAATTTTAAAAGCAGCAAGAGAAAAGAAGAGTTACATACAAAAGAGTTCCCATAAGGCTATTAGCTGATTTCTCAAAAGAAACATTACAGGCAAAAAGGACTGGAAAGAAGTATTCAAAGTCATGAAAAGCAAAGACCTACAACCTGGATTGCTCTATCCAGCAAAGCTATCATTTAGAATGGAAGGGCAGAAAAAGTACTTCCCAGAGAAAGTAAAGCTAAAGGAGTTCATCATCACCAAGCTCTTATTATATTAAATGTTAAAAGGACCTTTCTAAGAGAAAGAAGATCAAAACTATAAACAGTAAAATGACAACAAATTCACAACTATCAACAACTGAATCTAAAAAAGAAAATCAAAAACAAACTAAGCAAACAACTAGGACAGGAAGAAAATTACAGAAATAGAGATCACATGGAGGGTTATCAGTGGGGAGGAGGAGGGGAGAGAATGGTGGGAAAAAGCTACAAGTAATAAGAAGAATAATTGGTAAGCACAAAATAGACAGGGGGAAGCTAAGAATATATAGGAAATGGAGAAGCCAAAGAATTTATATGTATAACCCATGGACATGAACTAGGGGAGGGGGTCATGCTGGAGGGATGGGAGTGCAGGGTGGTGGGGGATATAGGAGAGAAAAAAGTGGGACAACTGTAATAGCATAATCAATAAATATACTTTAAAATACATTAAGATAGTTTTATTTGAGAAGGATTTATTGGATTTCGTAAACCAGAGGTCACTGGTAACCCTGGCAAAAGCTTTTTCAGCAGAGCAGAAGGAAGGAAGCTAGTTGCATTGGGTTAAACAGTGAACAAGAGTTGGTGAAGTAGAGACAACAGGCTTTGTCAAGAAGTTTGCTAGGGAATGGTAGCTAAATGGAACCTAGAACAGAGGAAGGAGAGAAGGACATAAGCAAGCTCAGGGGCTGAAAGGAAAGAAGGTAGTTGAAGCACAAAGGGCCAGGAGACAGGATCCTCATGTATGTGAGAGGCAGTGGGTCCCACAGCCAGGTGCCGGAATTCACCAGAAAGAGGTAGGAGGGACACTTGTCATGCTGACCCTAGAAGGAAGGAAGTGCACATGTGAATTTAGGCAAGTCTGTCAGCTAGGGACTGGGGTCACCTGCATCTTCCTTTTAAAGAAGGAAGTGAGGGTTCAAAACCCTCAGAGACAGAGATGGACTAGGCAAACCTCCACCTTCTGACTAGCAGTCTCCTCCAGAAGCCAGTTGACAGGAAGGCGTGAAGCTCCCCAGAACTGGTACAGAATCACTTTGGCCTGGGGTCAGAGTCCTAGGACAGACCTTATTGCTCCTGTGTGGAAATACCTCCCCTGGCCAGTCACTTGGATTTCCCCTTTGGCAAACCTGGCTAAGAAGTTTCTCCATAAAGTCTGGTTCACTTTTTTCCTGTCCAACAGCCCTGACAGCTACCAAGCCCTGAGTCATAGCAGAAGTATCAGAGGCCACTTCAGTAACAACAGCAGATATAAGAGCAACAGTAAGCCACAAATATGGACTACTCAAATACAGAAAACTTTGGGAGTATTACACCTGAGTTCTCCAATTACAGTTACAACACTGATCTTCCCTTTTTGCCTGACACTGCTCCATGCCAGCCAGAATCTGGATATCAACAAGTATGTTGTGGTTGTCATCTCTGCCCTGCTCTTCCTGCTGAGCCTTCTGGGAAACTCCCTGGTAATGCTGGTCATCTTACACAGACAGGTCAGCTGCTCTGTCACTGATGTCTATCTGTTGAAGATAGCTGGCCTTCCCTACCTGCTCTTTGCCCTGACCTTCCCTACTAGGGGTGCCTCCAAGGCAAAGGGTTGGATCTATCACACAATCCTGTGCAAGGTGGTTTCACTCCTGAAAGATGTCAGCTTCTACAGTGGTATTCTGCTACTGGCTTGTATTAACATAGACCACTACCTGGCCATTGTTCATGCCACGCACACACTAACTCAGGAGTGGCATTGGGTCAAGTTCATATGCTTAGGCACCTAGACTCTATCCCTGATCCTGTCCCTGCCCATCTTTATCTTTCACAGGACCATCCATCCACCTAATTCTGGCCCAGTCCTCTACAAGAACCTGGATGCCAATACAACAAAACGGCGCATGGTGATGCGGGTCCTGCCCCAGACTTTTGGCTTCCTTGTGCCCATGCTTGTCATGCTATACTGCTATGGACTCACCTTACGCATGTTGTTTCAGGCCCACATGGGGCAGAAACGCTGGGCCATGAGGGTCATCTTTGCTGTTGTGCTCATCTTCCTGCTTTGCTGGCTGCCCTACAATCTGGTCCTGGTGGCAGACACCCTCATGAGGCTCCAGGTCATCAAGGAGACCTGTGAGCACCAAAGTGACATTATTTGGGCCACGGATGCCACGGAGATTCTGGGCTTCTTCCACAGCTGTCTCAATCCCTTCATCTATGACTTCATTGGCTGGAAGTTTTGCCATGGACTCCTCAGGATCATGGCCATCCATGGCCTGATCAGCAAGGAATTCCTGGCCAAGGATGGCAAGCCTTCTTTTGTTGGCTCTTCTTCAAGGAACACTTCTACTACCCTCTAACACCCCTGCCACTGGTGTAGCCCCACAGGGCTCCTCCCCTCCTTTCAGCACTCAAGTCTCATGTCTACTAACTATTCACAATCTCTGTGTCAAGATAGACCCTCACTGAGGTCACAGGAAGTTGCTGAGGCTGCAACCTCACCAGGCCCCATTATATGGTTGAGAAAGCCTGCCCTGTAACTTCATCTCTTACTGTAATTACTATGTCAACTGATTGAGTTCTGTCCATCTTACCACTGAGCCCTTACATTCTGTCCTCTGAGACATTTCAAAGACATGTTTTTGAGTGACTTTAAAAAGTTCCTACCCTTGGGAGCCATTAATGACAAACACCACAGTTACTTCCCCAACTCTCCCTCTCCTTGCTTTCTAGCAAAGTCTGCTTCCTTTGGGAGAGGTCAAAAATGACGGATACTCACTTCCATGACTCCTTTTAGCTATGAATGGCCATATTCTCTAGTTCTGACTAGGAAGACTTACAGGCAAGTGTGTGCTGGTAAACCAATCTCCTAGGGGAATAAAATTCCTATTTACGGTGTTCACCAAGTTCCGTGTTATAAATGCTCCCACCATGGCAATTTTCAAGGGTGGTGGTGTTTAGCAACCAGCTCACAAAATTCTAGGAAATGTAATAATCTGTTTTCATAAGCAGGTACAAACTGGCTTCTGCAAAACATTGCTTAAGAGGAGTCTGTGAGGGCCAGGGGATTCCTGGGAAATCCCTGATTGAAAAAGAGAGGAACACAGGAACATACACTCCCACATACTTAGGTCTTGTGTTTGAATATAGATAAAGGATATGATACGTAGTACTGAGGCAGTGAATTTGTGACAATGAGGAAAAAAACCTAACACACTTAGGTTGATGAAGTCAAAAGATAAAAAGAACTTAAAAACAAAGAGCCCAGAAATAAACCTAAGCGAGCATAAGAAGAAACCTGGTCCCTTACCTTACATCGTTTTAAAAACTCAAAATTGATTGAAGGCCTAAACATAAGATCAAAAACTATATAACTCTTAGAAGAAAAAGAAGGAGTAAAAGATCATGATATTGGATTTGATGATGATGCCCTGGATATGACACCAAAAACACAAGCAAAAAAAAAGGAAAAGTAGATAAATTACTCCTCATCAAAGTTAAAAAATTTTGTGCATCAAAGGACACTCTTAACAGAGTAAAAAGGCAAACCACAAAATGGGAGAAAATATTTGCAAATCATACATCTTATAAGTGGTTAATATCCAGAATATATAAAGAATTCCTACAACTCAACAGTGGTGGGGGGGAAGGCCTTATTCAAAAGTGGTTAAAATATTTAGAGAACAGACATGCCTCGAAAGAACACATACAATAAATAGGTAGATAGATGGATAGATAGATAGATAGACAGATAGATAGATAGATAGATAGATAGATAGATAGATAGATAGATAGATAGATAGATAACAAGTGTTGGTGAGGATATGAAGACACTGGAACACTTGTACAATGCTAGTGAGAATGTAAGATGGTGCAGCCACTATGGAAAACAGTATGGTTGTCCCTCAAAAGAAGTAAACCTAGAATTACCATATGATCCTGCAATTCCAATTCTGGGTTATACTGAAAAGAATGGAAAGCAAAAACTCAAATTGGTATGTGTATACTAATGTTAATAGTAGCATTACTCCAGCAATAGCCAAAAGGTGGAAACAACCCAAATGTCCATCAACGGATGACTGGATAAATAAAATGGGGCATAGAACATACAATGAAATATCATTCACTCCTAAAAAGGAACAAATTTCTAATATATGCTACAACATGAATAAACCTAGAAAATATTATGCTAAGAGAAATAAATCAAACATAAATACTGTATGATTCCACTTATATGAGGTACCTAGAATAGTTAAATTGATAGAGACAGAAAGTAAAATTGTAGGTACTAGAGAGCTGAGGGAGGGGGAAATGGGAGCTTATGGTTTAAAGGATACAAAATTCAGTTGGGGATGAGGAAGAGATTCCGGAGGTCGATAGTGTTGATAGTTGTACAGCAATGTGAATGTACATAATGCCATTAAGCTGTACATTAAATGTTAAAATGATAAAACTTGTTGTGTTTATTTCACCACAATTTTTTATAAAAATCTATTTGCAAAAAAGCAAACCCTGGAACCACTTACCAATAACTTCCTGTTAAGTGAGATAATTAAATACATACCTTTTTTTGTACCAAAAAAGAAAAATCACAGACAGGAGGAAAGAGGCTGGATGGACAGCTTAGATCCCCATGTAGTCATTTGTTTTTGATTTTGCTTTTCCAAAGCAACTGCATGTGTTGTACAACTGAGAAGCAATTCAAAACAAAGCAAAACAGAGAAGTCTTTAAAATAGCTTTTTGTCAACATTAAGCAATCAGTAGGTATTTATGGGTTCCTACACTAAATGGAGGAAGCAGATAACCCCAGAGTCCCAGGCAGGACCTGGCCCTGGCTCAGGCCTTAGGAAGACACCTGTTTTCACTCTCAAGAGGTCAGTTCTCAGGAAGCACAGTAGGTAATTCAAGGTACAGAAAACTAGAGATAGGTCCTAACGTGGAAACTGAGGGTGAGGGTCAAAGCAAGGAGATATGAATAGGGGAAACAGAATATAAAGGGTTCCTAAAAAGCAAGTGGAGATGAAGGAGAGGTAGAGAGGGGCAAGGGTACAGAGCAGGTCCAGGTGAGTTTGGGATAAATTTCACAAATCTTGTCCGTGGTCTTTCTGTTTTGTTTTTGCCTGAGTTGGTACTTCTTCCTGTGTTGGGACAGGACCTTCCAGTGGCCCACTGGTGCCACACATTCACAGTCTAGAGGGACAAAGAGCATTGATTTACAGGGTAAAAGCTAGCTATGCAGGGCAGCACATACACAGGACCAGGAGAGGAACATGGATGATGACTTACAGGTACCCAGGAGGGAAGAGCATTGAGCAGGGAGTCCAGGGGAGGCTTTGTGACTGAGACTTGGGCAGGGCCAGGAGACCAGAACACTGGGCACCCTGCAGCACTGCTTCTACGTAGCCTCAGCCAAGCTCAGGATACCTTGGTCCTCTGACGTCCCTCCCAGAGTGGTACAAATCCTCTCTGTCCCATAAGGTGGCTACTAGCCACATATGTTATTGAAACAGAAATTGAAATTAAGTAAAATTTAAAATCCAGTTCCACATGTGGCTAGTTGCTACAAACGACAAAGAGAGTGGGCATTTCCAAAATCGCAGAAAGTTCTATTGGACAGAGCTTGTCCCAAAAAAAAAAAAAAAAAAAAAAAAAAAAAAAGGAGCAGTTAGTGACAATCCAGCAGTATCAATTTAGGCTCAGAGTATATGGAAACTTCGGGTTGGGAATACATAGAGAGATAATTTTAATCTAAAAATCTTAAAGTAAATGATTTACATTATTGAATATGTAGCCTAAAAGATTATCCCCAAAAATTTCAGATTCAGGACTCAAGTATTAGCAAATGCAGGGGATACCTAAAATTCCTTCAAAAAATAAAATAAATTTCATTGATTTTCCTTGATTCTTTCTTACTAATGTGTATGATAGTTATGGGGGCAAAGCACTATCTGAATGGTTTACAGAAATCACAGAAGTAGCATCCCAGTCACCAGGGAAATTTTGAAAAATTATGCTTTTTTGTCTCTGTCCACACAGTCCCTTTGTGTGAAGAACACAGCTGTTCATTTGTAAATGATTCATGGTGTTTGGGTGACCTCTGAGGTGGTCTGAGGTAGACATCGTCCTAAATGTTTGGAAAGAGCTCTGTGAGGGTTCATGCTTAAAGCAGGCAGGGTATCCTGTAGTCCCAAGTAAAGACCTAGAATGTACCTGTCATGTTTTGCACTCATAAATCAGCCAAAAAGCTTACAAAACTTCCACCTTAGAGTTGACAAAACATGTAAAAGAGAATGTTAAATGGTCACAGGCCTGCTCAGAAAGCCACCTGCAGCTTGTCAGCAGCATCAGAAACCCACTCTTCAAAGGGCAGCCCCATTGATCTCAGATCAAAGAAGGAAAAGCAGAGGAAAAAATCCAGACAAATCTTTCACTCCATTGTCTGATGACTTCCTTTAAAACAAAACAGTAATATTTTACCCAATGACATGGTGGCAATATATTACGTCCTCAGTCTCCTTATAGGACTCTCCGTTAGTCTCTCAATCATTAGATCGCTGACTGGTGTGCATTGCTTCCATAAATGGAAAGATTTATCTTTTTGAATATGATTCTCTTCTCTTGTCATGAAGATGCAGATCAGTGATTGATTCTGAACTCTGGGGTCTGGGTGACTGGTTCTGTTTTTTGATATAGTTCCCCATGAAAGAGACTAAAAAAAAGAAAGGGAGACATTCATTTAGATTTTCCCACTGGATGGTCGTTATTATAATTAGTTAACACATTAATCGCATACCATGTGCCTGGCACTACACTGAGCTCTACGCCTATGTGTTATTTAAGTTTTGTAACAACTCCCTGAAGAGATGCTACTATTATCCACGTTTGGGGAAGGAGGAACCGGAGGCACAGAAGGGTAAGATGCCCGAAGTCATACCAGTGACAAAGTGAAGATCCAAACCAGGCCCGTAAGATGTCATGCCATGCCTGGGCTCAAACTGTACTTATCTCACGGAAGCTAAGAGATATTCCTTTCCTAGAGAAGAGGTAGAGAAGACAATAAAAGGAATGTGAATCACACTGGGTGCTCCCAAGGAGGCGTTGAGGGTATGTCTGAGAAGGAGGCTGGAGAATAGAGACCGGCAATCGTTTAATGTCAGCAAGGATGATGCTGACAATAGCTTTGGAAGGCTTCGTATGATTATATAATTTATCACATAGTGCACCTCTTCATTAACTTTTTTCTGTTACTCTATGACAGAGAGAAATCAAAAGGGATTTTAAATTGTTTTTGAAGGAAACAGGATGGACGAGAAGGAAAATGTTTCACTCTCTGCTGAGATTTTTTGACAGGAGGGTGGG